TGTACCTCTTGTATACCCACCTTCCTCACTCACTGTACCTCTTGTGTACCCACCTTCCTCACTCACTGTACCTCTTGTGTACCCACCTTCCTCACTCACTGTACCTCTTGTGTACCCACCTTCCTCACTCACTGTACCTCTTGTGTACCCACCTTCCTCACTCACTGTCAATATCTTTCTCACTGATAGCATAGATATGGATAAGACAGACACTTGTATAGATAAAGACAGTCTGACAGATGATATAGATACCAAACAGACAGACTGACTGACATACAGGTATTGAAAGACTGATAGAAAGATATAGATACAGATAGATACAGATAGACAGTTAGACAGACATAAAGACATACCTGTAACAGCAGTGTTTCCATGCTCCAGTTGTTAATTTCACAAGGTTTAGTTGTTAACTCATCTGTAACAAAGAAACAAAAACATTTAATATACACAACAGTTTATGAGAAAAATATGTCCATAAATTAATAGTCATTCAGTACAGAAGTTGTTTGTTTTATGCAGATTTGGTTTACGTGAACTTTCTTGGGACTGTGAATCTTGCATGCTTGTCATTTTTGCCTTAATATTCCCAGCTAAATTAGTGGTACAATAATACAGTAGCACAGACAGACAGACAGACAGGTAGAATCACAGTTACACGGCACCTACGGGGATTGAGATGTGCCGGATTAACAGGTTTTCCCATTAGTTCAAACTCGCTCTTGGGACCCCCAATAAATCCTACAATGCACAGTGCTACAGGCTGACCTTGCAAATTCATGTCTCAGAAAAATATATATTTTTAGCACTTAATAAACTCTATATAAATGATGTGGTTTATTAATAAAAAAATATAATACAACACAAAGGTACAACTTTACATGCTGATTAAGGATCTGGGTTCACAGTTTAAAAATTAAGGTAATTAGTGTTAATTAATGACCTTTGAAAAAATTAAAGATATTTAGATTATTTAAAAAGTCAATTACTCTGTGCCTGCAAGTTTTAAATCACCTGTATATACATTCTCTAAATAATAAATAGATACTGACAGATATTGGTAAGCCATATGGATAGATGTACAGTACATAGATTGACAGACTGACAAATACTTGTATTGATAAATAGATAAAACTGACTGAGACAGGTATTTATAGATAGATATTGGTAGAAAATAGATAGATATGCTGATAGGCACAGAAAGACAGACATAAACAGTTAGATCAGTGGTTCCCAACCTCTTCCATTCTGTGACCCATACAAAATATGATAACTTCCGTTGCCCAAGTCTAAATCTTTCTTCGATGAAACAAACTAAACGTCACTGGAATGAGCAGTTGGAAATGATACTTTATTATTATTAGTTGTATATACAGTACCAGTAGCGACATAAAATAGAACTACCACACAATAAAAGATTCCAAGTCATGGATAGTGTATGTGAACCTCTGTTGTGTCTGCAGTAAATGCTGTGTATTATAATCTCACATAAATAAACTCAACTCCACAACAACTCGGGTAATCAAAACTAAGGACGCTGTGCATGTGTGTATAATTTACGCACATGCAAAAAGAACATTCAAAAAGTTAATTAAAACTCAGTGGGTTGGATGACATTGTTTTTTGTCACCAATTGTGGCATCAGTGGTTTAGTCACAGTCAGGGCACAATGGAGGCCATCTTCCACAAAGTGTCGATAGTGCTGTTTCTATTTGATGCTCAACAGCGTGAAAATACCCACTTCACAGAGACAGGTAGAAGAGAATGACAGAAGCACTGGGATAACCAGTTTGTTGATAAAAAAAGTAGCGGCCCATTGCCACCCAAAACTCTGTCAAGCATCATTAGCTCAGATGGTTTAAACCAGGGGTCAGCAACCTTAATACACGAATTAGCAACATTGTAAATAAGAAATCAGCCATCACACAGTGTAGTTATGCAATATGTATTAAATTTACAAAAATAAAACTTGAAATTGGGCATTAAGAAATAAAGAACTAAACTACAGCTCCTCCCGACTTACGACCTACTCGACTTACGTCCACCCGCACTTACGACCTGCCTCAGTCGTACCAAAATTTGGTCAAATTATGTATTTTCGAGTCCCAAAGTCAGTACACAGACAAAATTTTATCTGTAATTCACTTTAAAATGGCTGGCAAGCTTAAAAGTGAGTGTTTTGTGATGCTGAGATGAAAAAGAGACACCCATTTTCGATTTTCTATGTATTATTTAAGCATTTCCGACTTACGGCCATTTCGACTTACGACCTGGATGTCGGTCCCTAACCCCGTCGTAAGTCGGGGAGCAGCTGTATATACTGTACCAGTACTGTATTCAGACAAGTACAGTAATGGTACTATACAGAAGTTTTGTTTGAGCATCCTAGTGGGTGGTAATAAATAATAATACAATACAACATAAAAATTATGTTTCACATTGAACAATACAGAGGAAATAGTTACTATGATGCGCATTCAATTAGACAGAATAGAATATCCTCTGCCAATTTGTGAAATCTGGTTCAAATTTAGTAAAAGCTGCTACCACAATTGCCTTTCTAATGATTGTTAGTGAGCTTTAAGTGTTACAGTACAGTACAGCACAGTTAAGCAACGTTAGTACTTAGATGGGTGACTGCCTGGCTCTAAGAGCACCACATGCTGCTGGCATAAAGACTCTACTGGAAATAAGTATCTCATGACTTTGTCAGCTGTCCTTGATCAAATTGTCTGAATATTATCTTTAACCTTATCAATATACGGCTGACAATGACTGTCCACGTCTGCTTAAAAACAAAAGTATTTGAAGCAGATTTTCAACAGTAATTGTTACAAGTACTAGCATTGTCAGTTATAATTTACCAGTTTAACAAAGAGTTTCACATTAGGTGTTTCCTGCATCAAGTGTTCCAACATGCTTATCTTACCTTATCAACTTAGCCGGCCGCTCATCACATATTTTCAATGCTATACTGCCGGCCACAAACACTGTGGACCCCTGGTTTAAACTCTGGCACTCTGCTAGGAGGGTCAAGCCTTGCTTAGTTTTATTATGAACTCACATGGTTTAAATTACTCCCATGATCAACAGGCGGGGACCACTGACTGTTAGATAGATAGAAAGATATAAAAAATGAAGACAGACAGACAGACAAATGACTAACAGCAGCAGCACAGTTACAGCAACTTGTCTTAAGAGTTTGACGAGCACATAGAGTTCCGGTATAGGCTATGAGAGCTGTTCCTATAGTTTACCTTGCCATAGGTGGTGGTGCTAGTAGTGGTGATAGTGGTGGTGGGAGCTCTTGTTCCATGCTCCAGTTATCATTTTCATCTGTTATGGATCAGTTTAATTTCCCAAAGTTTTGTTGTAACATCTCCTCCTGTAACAAACAAAATATTATATTTACTATAAAGAAATTGGGGAGGTTAGGTTAAGTTTACTTTAGAAATAACCACTTGTTAACACATTTTCACAAACTACGACAGTGTCCACTATATAACACAGTGAAATTGAGGCATTTTTATAATACGTAGTTTTCTATGAAAAATCGGCCACGGGTCAGTCGTCAATAATTACCATAAAATATACCAGTATTTACATGTATAAAATATATACCATGGTAAATATTCGTCCATTGGCTGTCCTCAGGAATAGTTTTATGGTGTGTTTTAGTCAAATCTGACATATGTTTCTGGTGCAAATTAATGGCTTTTGAAAAAATTTAAATTTTAAACATTTACAAAGCCCAGTTAATAAAATGAAACTGCCAAATTTATTAGCCTGAAATCTGTAAATTGCAAAAAAGTTATTGTAAACCACATAGTGTGAAATAAGTACTGTACTTGTAGCGCAATGTTTGTGTGATGGAATAACATAATCAGATACTGTACAACCATTTTAAAGCGCTGCATTACACTTCACTATTTCTTTGCACTTCCCTTCAAGATTTACATACCGGGTAATCTCTTTTTGTAATCATAGACAAAGCTAAAATACATGGTATATATATTAATAGGTAGGGATTATCTCTTGAATTGGGTGTAAATAATCTTAGGTACGACTTATCTTATGAGCTGGGTACGAGGTGTCTTGGGTACGAGATGACCCGGTAATATTTTACTCTCGGACATGGTGAGCCGTAAAGTTTTAACCCCCGAGTCATGAGGTCAGTTTAAGCTAGGCCTACACCACTGAATCATTAGGTCAGTTTAAGCTAGGCCTACACCACTGAGTCATTAGGTCAGTTTAAGCTAGGCCTACACCACTGAGTCATTAGGTCAGTTTAAGCTAGGCCTACACCACTGAGTCATTAGGTCAGTTTAAGCTAGGCCTACACCACTAAGTCATTAGGTCCTAGGCCTACACCACTGAGTCATTAGGTCAGTTTAAGCTCCTACCACTGAGTCATTAGGGGCAGTTTAAGCTAGGCCTACACCACTGAGTCCAGTTTTAGGCCTGCACCACTGAGTCATTAGGGCAGTTGCCTACTGAGCCAGTTTAAGCTGAGCCTACACTGAGTCATTAGGGCAGCTTTACTGAGCAGTTTAGCTGGCCTACACCACTGAGTCATTAGGGCAGTTTAAGCTAGGGCACCACTGAGTCATGAGGTCAGTTTAAGCTAGGCCTACACCACTGAATCATTAGGTCAGTTTAAGCTAGGCCTACACCACTGAGTCATTAGGTCAGTTTAAGCTAGGCCTACACCACTGAGTCATTAGGTCAGTTTAAGCTAGGCCTACACCACTGAGTCATTAGGTCAGTTTAAGCTAGGCCTACACCACTAAGTCATTAGGTCAGTTTAAGCTAGGCCTACCGGTTTTGTTACATTTGTTGACTAGTTTTCGTTTTCTCCCCCACCAATAAACCCTGATTTCCCAGGCTCTCCCCCATTATTGTTGGGGGCAGAGTGGGGGGGGGACAAACTAGCACTCCGCCAAACACTAAGGTCAGAGTCACTTAACACACCCTAGTACACCGGGAGACATGTTGGTCAACCCCTTGGCCTGAAGTAAACATTACCCATGACCCTGATCCACTATATTATACGGTATATAAAGTGTTCACCTTTGTGTTACTTACCTCACTGTGTCTTGTTATCACCTTAACAAGGCCAGGAGGGGGGAGGAAGGCCCACAACATTACTCACACCATTAACAACAGTAAACCTGACCACGTTAGTTGTTGTCATAGTGCTACACCTCGTCCGATTAGCTCTCTTATTTTTCAGTAATTACAAGTTTTTATTATTATTACCATAATAAAAAAATAATAATAAATATTACATTATATAATGAATTAAAATTTAATAATAATGTTTATTATTGATTAAATTCCCCCTAATAGTGATATATTAATATTAAACTAAACTTAAGTCAGTGGTCGAAGAACAGAATAATTTGACAACATTTACAAATTCACTAAAATAAATTTAAACAATAACATTTTGTGTTTAACCGTAGTAAGTTTATTTATTAATATTTTATTAATATAACACTATATATAAGCTTATAACAGCATAATATACTCGTTATTTTAACTATTCATAATAATATTATTAACTGTAACTATTAGTCTCAAACTACATAATTATTCAGCAATAATTAAAAAATAATTACATATAATATAGAAAGTTAATAATGATCAAATACTAATTATATTATTATTGTTTAAGTTCTTCTTGAATGATGAGTACCGTGAATCGTGAATCGTGCACCATTTCGTCCTGTTGGCCCGCGACATATGAGAAGGGTGTTTGAATACCTCAGTACCCCTCACTACCATGTCCCGTTGGCTCGAGACACACATGAGAATGGAGTTTGAATACCTCTCACTATCATGTCCCGTTGTACACTATTGGGGTTGTGGTAAAATAAAATATTCAGCAATAGTTTAAATACTTATATCTCATTCTGTAAGATATTTATGTTAGGGGCACATCAGGGCCAAGTGTATACAGTTATACTGCCCTTTAATTGGTCACTTAATACTGGGTTTACTTCTTAACTTAGGGTCGCTGCCACCAGACCGCAGGACAGTATGTGTAGTTGTTCTTTGGGGAGCTGGAAAAGAAGTCTAGCAGTGTGAGTTTACTGTAGCAGTGTGAGTTTGTGTTTTTCATTCATCAAAGTTGAGGGTGGAAGGAAGGGTAAAACACCAACCAGTAGTTTTAACTAAATTATTTTAGACATAATAAAAATACTGCACTCAGTCACAATACAAAAATAGTTGACCTTCCCCAAGCAGTTAAGGTCACTGCACCACACAAAAATAACTTACCATCTCCCATAATTAAGGTCTCTTCTTCTCCATACAAAATAACTGACCCTAATACTATCAGTACACACACTTAACATTATACACACAGACACTGGTATAATACAACATACAACAGTACCTTGAGTTCTCCTTTAATAATATCAGTACACACACTTAACATTATATACACACACACTGGTATAAAATAACATACAAATTACCTCTTTAAAGTGTTTATTGTTTTCTGTGAACTACCCAAAAGAAAACTTAGAGATTTCCCTTAGTGCAGTGAGTGTGAACGTTATGCAGCTGTAATAAGTGTCACAAGAGATTATAGGGACCTGTACTAATGTACGCAGTACACAGTATTTACATATTGTAGTGGATTCCTCCCCTACAAACGCCGTGTGTAGCTGACTAGCCGACCCTCTTCGAATTCCCCAGCCTGCGCCTCGTGGTCAAGGTCGGCAACCAGCGCCGCCTACATAGCGGAGGTCAACTATCAACCCACGCCTACCCCCGCTATATAAGACCTCACGTGGCCATGACCTACCTCTTTCTACCTACAGCCACCAGCCAGCAACACCTCCTCCTCCGCCTGCCTGGCGGCCCTCTCTCCCGCTGGCGACCATGGCGACCCACAAGCTGGTCCTCCTCTGAGCACCCTCACCAACCAGCTCTCCCTACTCAACGCTTGTAACCATGCTGCCTTCCCAGCACCAAGCTGCATTGTACATCCAATACAATATGTATACAGAGAGCACATTGTGAGTTTCCTTTCTCCATCCCATCCTCAGTGTGAACCAATATCTTAGAAACCCCACAAATGGTGACCCCCGGAGATTCACACTCACACATGGAAGACTGGCTTATCCACAAAGAGGCAGCTCTCATCGACTCTACAACTACTGTCTCCACACCGCAGGTTAGACACCCTAGAGCAGCTCTGCTACTCTAAGCAGACAGCCGCTCCTCTTCCTGCCCGAAGCACCACGTCCTACCGACCCCAACACACCCGCCATGCCTCAGACGCCGCCCCCAGCCCAGCAGTACCCCCTGCCACTGTCCTGGACCCTCCTCCTGATGCGGCCCCTCCTACGCTCCTGCCTGGCAGACCCTGCTCCTGACGTGGCCCCTGCTCCTGATGCAGACCCACACACCCCTCTTTTCTCCCTCAGGTACTCCCTACTACTGTCCTGCACCCTGCTGCTGTTGTGGACCCTGCTGCTGACTTGCACCCTGCTGCTGTCATGCACCCTGCTGCTGTCATGGATCCTCTTCCTGACGCAGCCCCTGCTCCTGACGCGGCCCCTGCTCCTGACACGGACCCACACACCCCAGCAGGCGCTACTGAGGACTCTGTACCTGCCGCGAGAGAAGCACCACATTCCTCGCCTCCACAACCCTCCTTCTCCCAGAGATCTCGTTTATCTAGACAGTGTCTCCCATAGCTGCCGGCTCATCAACGCCCTCGCCGTTATGTCTCACATGTGGCATACAACCCTGCCAACAACAAGTCTCCTGCACAGCCCGTTATGCCTCACATGTGGGATGCAACCCTGCAGACAACAAGTCTCCTACACCGCCTGGTGGGAAGGGGGAGTATTGTAGTGGATTCCTCCCCTACAAACGCCGTGTGTCGCTATCAATACTATAAAACACTCTGGCAGCACCACACAGCCTCTACCAGTGCTAAAATCACTCTGGCAGCACCACACAGCCTCTGTCAATACTGTTAATAAGACGAAATGCCTTTGATTCCACTCTATCTAACAGTTGGACAGAAGAGGAGCCACCCCCGATATGAGAGCAGTACTCCAAGTTAGGATGAATAAATTCCTTATATACTTGAAGCAACTGCTTAGAAGTGAAGAGCTACAGCATCTGTACAGCATTCCCAGCTTTTAGGAGGCAGCTTTAACAATGTTGAGGATGTGTGGCTTCCATGACATATCAGAGGAAATGGTGAGGCCTAGCATATCTATTTTACAATTTGGCAGAATGATTGCATCCTGAAATGTGATTGGTGGGAGATCATCTAATTTGGAAAGTGTAATTGTTAAATATACGTAGTCTGGGTCGACAGTTCTGTGACAGTGCATTTGTCTAATGTTATTGACATTTTTACTCTCCATTAAGAGTCACACTCAGGTGTAGGACTGACATTATTAATGGTTCTCAGGTAGTGGGAGGTAGTAAATCTTTACTTGAACATTACTGTATATTTAAAATATGTAAAATCGGTAGAGACTAATGAACATGTCTATGCTGATGTTTACATATTCTCAAGAGCCAAATGTTATTTAAGCAAATTAATTATAAGCAAACCCAATGGTCTTATTTGAGCAGACTTTGGTCATTAAATTTGAGTTTTATTGTTACTGTCAGGTGGGGGAGACAACATGATGTATCACATGCCTCGAGTTGCTGGAAGAAAGAAATTGAGAATATATTCTTTGAACGATTTAAATATATGATAGAGTGGACTAAGAATTTCTGTATTTACCTCCATCAAATTATAAATAAAGTCAAATAATTAAACATGGGACCTTCAGTACCCAGATTAAAAACCTTTCCAGGGACCCCTTTCTTACCACTCGGCTTCTCTCACTTGCTTGAAGCGGTGGTGGTGCAGGATGTGGCTTGGTGTGGCATCGTCGTCATGGGTCACAGTGATGATGGGGGTGGCGGCGGTCGCAATGCCACACCTGAATGCGGAGACAGTTTTATGGTACCCGGCAAATGTCTCCATCGCCAGGCTGTCTTCGACAAAGTCTTTCACCACCATCCAGCTTGCTAGTGAGATCATCTGTGCCACGAAGGCCGCCCAGACGGAGTGGTCGTACACGTTTACCTACGAGAACAGCACCTGTTCCCTCTATGACGTGAAAATCACCGGGTATGGAGACGAGTCCAGCCTAGGCGACACCAGACCCTCCTGGACTCGACTAAGTGATGGTAAGACTACCTGACCAGTGCTAATGACTCACCATACCTATTATTTCATCACTTTATGCCTTATCCTGGAGTTACTTCATATACCCAACCATCTGGCCATATTTTAAGGTGATTTGCTCAACATCAAATTGTTTTGTCTATTTCAAACAGGGATGCTACTATAGTATGCAGAGTACCAAGTTGGATTTGGTCTACCAGGATATTTACACTGTAGCGTGTGGTCTACCTAGCATCCATTAACTGGAAAAGGTTAAGTTAGGTAGACCACATACTGTAGTAGCACCAACCAGATTAATAAAATCTTATTGTTTTATGGAGTAATTAATGTGTCAGTGATTCAATTATACGTTAAGCTTTTTTGCTAATATGATCTCGAGCGAACTAAGGGGACACATCCACACAGGGACCAGAAGTGTATTGTTGACGGTCAGGTCGAGCACTTGCTATTGGTTAGGTGTGTTTGTGAAGCAGCCAGAGACTCGGCATCACTGGAGTAATTAAGAAGGCCAGTGTTAACTCAGGGTTCCTTCACATGGTTATCTTATGAGTTATTAATAAGTAAACTTATCATAAAGGGAAGCTAAACATCTTCCAAGCAGTGTTGGAAGCACAAGCTTTAACACCTTTTCCTACAGTAATTAATGAGTTGCTTTTACTTGCTATTATAGAGACAATGACCTCCATTCTACCAACACCTGCCAATCCTCCGACAACAACCGCTGTTCCTGCGACAACAACCGCTGTTCCTGTGACAACAACTGCTGTTTCAGCGACAACAACTGCTGTTCCAGCGACAACAACTGCTGTTCCAGCGACAACAACTGCTGTTCCAGCGACAACAACTGCCGTTCCAACAACAATGACTGCTGTTCCAACAACAATGACTGCTGTTCCAACAACGACGACTGCCATTCCAACTACAACAACCACCATTCCAGCAACCTGCTCTGCTCTCTTCGAGTTTGTCACTGACTTGGGCTGTGTTTACCTACACCACACGGCCATGAATTGGGTTAACGCCCAAGCTTACTGTGTCCAGCATGGGGCCGACCTTCTGGTGACTCATCACTTCACAGCTCTGCAGCAGTACCTCCTACCTCACTCAATTCACCGTAAGTATGATACGAGCGGATCTTAATTTGTTTTCATTATTGTAGCTATTCTGGCAGGAAAAAAAAGTTCTCTGTTGATAAAAGTAATACTGTACAGCATAATAAGGCAATAAGCTTTATTATATGTTAAAACAGCTACGACACACGCACACCCTCATGGATTTTGGACACCTGTATTAATAGACGTCATAACATCTTCCCAAACAATTTTGAAAGGCATATTTATTAGAATAATATCTAAGACAAATATTTTGAGGCTCTTATTACCATCAGAGTTTAGTTGGACATTTATAGACCTTCGGCGTACGAGATGACATTACCGAGTGTATTACCCGCCAACACAGACAAATATCGGTGCTACTATAGCATGCGGTCTACAAGATATTTATCTTAAGTTAATTAGGTAAGGTTAACTTAGGTCAAGTTAGGTAAGGCTAGGTCAAGTTAAGTTAGGTTAGATCAGATCCTGTCAGGCTAGGCAAGGTTAGATTGGTTAGATTAAAAGATATCTTTGTGAGCTGCACTTTCCTGTAGTAGCAGCCAAATATCTTCTTCCCCCTCAGAGATATGGGTGGGAGTCAAATCCAAGAAATGGTTGGATGGTCAGAATGTGGCAGCAGGTGAGTGGAAGTCTGGTAACCCAGATGGCGCGGCCGATGACTGTGCCAGGATGAAGGGATCAGGAGGCATGCACCTGTTGGCTGACATCACCTGTGACTCTACCTTCCTGGTACTGTGTCAACATGACCTCTAACACACTGTAATTTGACATAAGTACCAGTGATGTTTAGTGTGGCGGTGTGGTAGTAGTAGTAGTGGTGTAGTGGTGGTGTGCTTGCAGTGGTCTGGGTGGTTGTGGATCAATCCTTTTCTACTTTCCTTTCTCTTCTATTTACATCTTTCTATCATCTTTTATTATCATCTTTCACTTCTTTCCATTATCTTTCACATTCTCTGTCTCTCTCTGCATCTTTCCAGCAGTTACAACTACAGTACATCACCCTCTTACAGTAGCTGGACTAGGGTCAGTATATACAAGAGAAGCAGCTGAGGTCCTAACTTGGAGGAGCACGGTCTGGTATATAAGACAAAGAATTAACATTGTTGTAACTAAAGTCAAGGATGTTTTACTATGTTAAGAAATATGAATAAAATACCTGTAATTATTCTATTATCAACCATCACATCTGTTTGTATTAATCTTTGTTTATTGTACTCCAAGCAATGGCGAGATGTTCACCCCAAGTACACTGTTTTATCTTATATACAGTACTGTACCGCATTATACTTTGGGATTCAATGGGATATATACAGTACCGGGTACTCAGATCACAGAAATAACTACAAATTATTATTGTTATTTATTATGAATAGAACACATCAGCTGGTGTAAGTAGATATGTTTAACTCGAGTGTTTCATGTGTGTTGTTTAATGGTCATACAATGTCAACAGTAATTAATGGACAGCAATCAGTCTCTTGCTATAAAGTCTTCACATCATAGAATTTGTAAAGAATCACTTTTATTAACTCTGGTGTTTGGTTAATTAAGTAAATGACCAGGATATATTACTGTCCATAAACAAGAGGGTACTGAACATTATTACAATCTATAAAGCAAATTTGTTAATGTTTTCCTCACTCTAGACAGACAATACAAGTAATTATTTAAATGTTATTGTCTCAAAGGTGTTACCATAAACATTCCTGGTAAATACATCAACATATCTTTAATTCAGAGTTTTATCATTCTTATGTTATGTCTACCACCAGATGGCTCCCAGACATCCAGATGATCACAGAAACATTCGCACTGTCTAGTCTCATTATGTCTCGATGACGAGTGCACAGTTCATTTTGATAAAGTAATTGATATAATAAAGTTAAGATACTGTACCAGTTTCTATCTATCCGGAAATTACAACAAAATATAAAAAACTGACACATACAGTTCAACGTGGTAAAAATGGGGTCATTCTTCAATAAATTCTTTTATTGTACGCGAAAACACTCACACACACCTAATAGTTACCATTTCTTCATCGACATATTTTCACACATACCTGGAATGTTTGCCTCATTCTGGTTGTCGACTAAAGAAAATACAGGACTACTTTCTTCCACTAGATTTTATGAACTGCTTTCCAGTAAATATGAAATACCAAAATGGAACATTTAGCAATCTAAAGTTTTGGTACAGCAGCCAGGACCTCAGGGTTAAGAGTTGCAAGCATCTCACTGGCCTCTCAAGTTTGTCACCGGTCCAACTTAAAAATTCAGTAGTATGTCAAGTTTTCTCTTTTAAACAAAGCTAAAATTGCAACACAAATAGGTGATATCTCTGTTAGCCGGAACAATTGGTGCAAGAACACTTCCGGGAATGCAAGATTTCCCTCATCCCCTGAATTTTCGGGATAGCGGAAAAATTTTCTCGGAAGTTCAGAAAATGCCCATTACATCATCTCTCAAACCCAGAAAAATCTTCCCATCGAATTTTCTGAGTACGGGAATATTTTCTGGGAAATTTCCGGAAAATGTACCTGGAAAATTGTTCCCCAAAGCGAATTTTCCGGGAAAATTCCAGCTTTGGGAGCGATTCGAATTCGGCTATTGGAGTTCGGGTTTGAGGATTCCGGCTAACGGAGATATTACTGTACTGTAATATCAGCACATTAAGAAAAGTTTTACAATTATTCAGTGCCTGGTCAAATGGTCACCCTGCCTGCCCGAGAAGATCAACAGAAGTGGTTCCCAAACAATGACACGATGTGACTTTCAGCCGACACTCTTTCAGTCCTTAGCCCCATAGAGGGTCACTAACTCACTCCACTTGTCTGCGTCCAGTGTTCCCGCGTCAACCTGACTTACTTCAGTGGTGGCAACTTCTTAAGCACGATTTTCTGGATCAACGGTGAATTTCTACACTAGTGACATCTATGAGTTACAATGACATTGATCATAAGGTCACATAGAATTATCAACAATGGGTACTTTTGGCCATCTCCTTAACTGCTTGGACAAAATTTCCAATTGTTTTGTGGACTTACAACTGTGTGTCTTGGGTGTAAATTGTGTCAGGGTCCCACAGCCTGTGTTCCTGTGTGCCATGGACTGTACTGCACTGTGTCAGGGTCCCACAGCCTGTGTTCCTGTGTGCCATGGACTGTACTGCACTGTGTCAGGGTCCCACAGCCTGTGTTCCTGTGTGCCATGGACTGTACTGCACTGTGTCAGATCAAATGTTCAGAAGACAACTCTGAAGTGATCTAAATAACCATATTAGAAGATGTTGAAGTATTAATTTCTAAGAAGAGATCATTTTCTTTTTATTGTGAATATGACAAATATTGTAGAGTATACAGTATAAGTGATGGTGAATGTTATGACCAAGGCTCTTCTTTAGCTATATCAATAGGTTCATCTTTAACAGTGACCGCTTCTTCTTTGATGATAACTTCCTCAGGGGCTATACCATCCATCACCCACAGAGCACATTTATTTTTTATCGATGTAACACTTTCTCTCGCTAACTCTTCACGCAGAGTATTACCCGATACACCTTGTTGTGTTTCTTTCCGTTTCAATAAACTTAATTTCACACTTAAGGGACAGTCACTTTCATTAGTTGTACTTCTATTACCAGTGTGTAGACTCATGTGACAGGAGAGCGACGACTTCCAACTAAACGCTTCTCCACATTCCTTACACTGAAATGGCTTGTCACCAGTATGAGACCGCATGTGATGCGTTAAATATGATTTCCTGGGGAACTTCTTGTTACACTGGGTGCACTTAAAAGGTTTTTCTCCCGTGTGGATATACATGTGATCTTTTAATCCCGTTTTACACGAATACGTTGCTCCACATTCACTACATATGTATGGCTTTTCACCAGTGTGTATTCTCATGTGTTGACTAAGATTTGATGACCAGCAAAATGACTTTCCACACTCACTACACTTAAAGGGTCTGACACCAGTGTGTTTCTTCATGTGTTGGTTTAAATTACACTTTCTGTTGAAGGCTTCACCACACTCGGTACAAGCAAAAGGTTTCTCGTCAGTGTGAATTATCATGTGGGCACGTTGACGTGACCTGTAGGGGAAGGTCTTCCCACACACATTACAATCAAATATGGTTTTGCTGGAATTCATTTTTGAGAAATGACGAAACTTGGCTTTAGAAAAAGAAGAAAGATCTTTTAATTTATCACAGATTTTGATGCTGTTGGAACCAAGTTTACAGGCAGGATCGGCCGCCTCTTAAGAGTTCTCTGTTTACTCACAGTATTGACATACAGCATAACTGTATTTAAAGTTATAAAAAAATATGCATTATTTATATTTTTCTATAATAAAGTTTATTACCAGAACTAATAACAACTCATCAGAAATAAACATATCATAATATAGTATACTGTACTGTATTAATACTTTATATCATCAAACTGTACAGTACATATTATAAGAGCAGCAACACCGATCACCAACCTAACAGAGACAATACTGTACAGCATTATTAGTCCTGCTACTTCAATAATAAATAAATTAATTCAAACAGTTAAACATAAGATGATATTTAAGTATAGTAGACAGTAAGGTCAAGACCAGCTCACACTGTTGTACGTACACACATAAATCCTCGGCCCCATGACATTGATAAAGATGAAGCAATAATATTAATAATGTAAGAGCATCAGAATGCACATAAGATGAATTAAAATTTCCAAATCTTATTCTAACATAATTATTATACAGCACATACACAAACTGTATTGAAAAAACAAAGAGATGGCAATACTCTACACCAGTCACATCAACTCAATAATTATATATACTGTACTGTACTGTATAATGTTTAAACAATATTTCTCTGGTGGTGTTACTTTTGTTCATGTGAAAGTTACTGATCTTTTACTGCAACAAGATACAGCAAAACCTCCATTTAACAGACTACAAGGAGATGAAAATCCATTAAATCGAGGGTCCGTTAAATGTGAAACTTCCATCTAACGAACTACATAGATAGTCCATTACATCATGGGTCCATCAGAGAGAGGTCCGTTATATGGAGGTTTCTGTGTACTAAACAATAAAATAATGGAACATGATCTACAATGAGTGGCAGACAGTGACGGTGTTCAGCCGCAAGTCCTTGTCTCTTGATAGATCTTCTAACACTACAATCTGCAGGAAAAAATTAAATGACTTTAATGTACAGTCACTTAAAAGATTTATCTGTACTAAATTGTGTTGAGAAAATATGACACAATGGATGAAGGACTTTGACAACCCTGCTGAGACAACAGGCATCACAAGTGTTCATTCTGGAATTCATCGACCCCCCCCCTCCCAAACAGAGATAGTACAGTATTTTGAGTGACTACAAGTATTTCAGAGATCAAACATGGTGGATTCAAACCTTCAAATGACAATCTGTTGAAGGTAATGAAGTGGTGTTTGTAAGTACAATCAGCTAATATAGTCTGATCACCTCTCCCCCTGAACCACGAACCCCAAGATTCAGACTCATGAACCAGAACCATTTATGGATAGAATAATGTATCGGTCTACTGCTTCGGGTTCACGAGTATTGTATTGTTTGGTATTACTATTATTTTATATTTGTTGGTGTGCCTAATACCTACCTACCTATACAGTATCTCTTTCTTGGCACTGAATCCTTTTAACCTAACCTAACCTCACCCTAGAAATGAAGTGTTTACAAGTTGAGTCACTGTAAGCTGAGAAGTCTCAATGCATTACCTGAAGAATAGTTCCTCCACCTAATTTCATCATAACATTAAACACCCTGGTGCTTATCTATCCAAACCTAGGTTAATCTTACAAATAACCTAACATAGCTTAATCTAACCTAACTTAACATAGCTTAAATTCATCTAATCTAAGAGTTTAACTTAATCTAATCTAACCTAACTTAACATAGCTTCACCTAATCTAACCTAACTTAACCCCCCAGGTAGAGTTGGACTGTTAAATCATCTGATGAACTGGGGAGCTAATCTTCAGGTGATCTATTTCAACCAACAAGGTAAAAAAACTCATATAAATTAATGCTTTCTTCCTCTATGTGCTTTGTGCTCTCCTTTCCAAATTTGTCTTAAAGTTTTGAGAAATATTCCAGAATGAATATGTCTCATTAATATTAGTTAACACGCTCATTGTGGGGGCCAGACTAGGTCATTTCTCGTTAACCACCCATCACCTTTTGCCAAATTTTTTTATCTTACCATTTAATAGATCACTTTGAGAAAGGAAAGAATATACTTGAAGTTAGCGGAACATTCCAAAAATAAACGCGATATTCGTGATTTATTTGTTGTAATAATCACGAATTTTTCAAAGTCCCAATTTGATGTTATGGCGACACACAACGTCTCTCTCATTCGTTCGTTTGTGTGTTAGGCCTGTTAGGTCAGGTCAGGTCAGGTCAGGTCAGGTCAGGTCAGGTCAGGTCGTGGCCTGTTAGGTCAGGTAAGGTTAGGTTAGTACGTAAACCTCGCTTAGATTAAACATTTCTCCCATGATAAATATATGTTTTCGCGAGTATTCTTGGTGTCTTAGATGATTCCCACACTTATTTTGGGTAAAAATCACTTGTTTTCAGCCCTCCGCCCTCTGCCCTCCACCTTCCCACTGTGGCCCCCTACACTGTTGGGGTGGAAGGAGGGGGATAACTAAATAAAAATGTTATTTGCCCCTAAGATAAATGTTAGTTTGTCTGCTTGTTGTCCCTACAGAATAAGGATGAAAATATTTAATGAAGGTTGTCTGGGTAACGTGAACATAAATGAATAACAGAAATCTATGAAAAACTGAATGAAAGAAATATATGAGTGATTTACTATAATATTGATCATCAAATACATAAGACTTTACCATTTTTAGTTTATACTTTCCACAGTATAGATAGATTCACTGTAAGGACTCTTTAATGACAGGCTGCTAATTTACAATGGATATCTATCTACTTACCCATCTATATAATTCTCCATCTATCTACCTACCTACTCATGATATCTTCTATATTTCGTGACTAAGACTGATGACTGGAGGTGATGTAGTGTAGTGTTAATACTTACCTGAGACATTACAGAGAGTCATCAGTCCTCAGGTGACAGGCCCAGGTAAACAAAGGTGGACCTTAGGTTAAGAAACAACCACGAACACTACCACTAAAGTATTTAATTTGGTTATTTCTTGTAATCAGACTAATCAAAGAAGATTTACACTAACGTTATAATAATATGTTATTTTCGGACAGGTTTTATGTGCAAAATTTTGTTTTGTGTTGCTTAAAATAATAAAACGGACAGGTGATGTATTCATTACTTTAAAGGGCTACATAGACCCTCAGAATTCCTTTACGTATATTAGTATTAATTATTTAAATAGATAGGCAGATATTTATTAATGTAAAACTATAATTATCAAAATAGTAGTTATTAATACGATAATATCATTATATATTTTAGATGTCTTGTAGAAATATATAACATTGCCTCGTTATCACTAAAAGAAATCAGAGAGAGAGAGAGAGAGAGAGAGAGAGAGATTAAATTAACACTTCCTAAATGTTAAGCACATCTTATCATGACAATGGACACCGTTCATGGTGGGCCAACATGCGGTCTACTACTACTACTAATGTAATGACCTCGGCCATACACGTCAGTTACGTAATATCAGACGATTCATATTACGCTCAATAGCCCACAAAACATGTAGCTATGCTTTCTTATTGGAGTTCCCCATCTGAGGAGTCCGTTTTCTCAGCGCTTCAGGACGCCTGAGTCTGTAGTGGATTCCTCCCCTACAAGCACCGAACCTTCTCGAATTCCCCAGCCTACGCCTCCAGCGCCGCCCAGGGAGCGGGGGTCAACTATCTACCACGCCTACCCCGGCCTTATAAGGCCTGATACTGCTGTGACCAGCCTCTTTCTACACAGTGCCACCATCAAGCAACACCTCCTCCTCCGCTCCAGCCAGCGACCTTGGCGTCCCTCAAGCCACGTGCCCTCACTCTGGGCACCCTCACCACCCAGCTCTGTCTACTCAACGCTTATTACCATGCTACCTACCCAGCAACAAGCTGCATTGTACACCCAATACAATATGTATACAGAGAGCACATTGTGAGTTTCCTTTCTCCATCCCATCCTGAGTGTGAACCAATATCTCATAACTCCACAAGTCCTCCGTTTTCTCTCAATCTTGATGGTACCCGAGACTTCATTATTCCTTAGTAATGACAGAATATGAAATTGCAACTGTGGTTGCAATTGGTGAGGCAACCTAGATATGTCTGTTTACAGTTGGAACATTCAAGATCCATTGTGAGTAGTGTTGAAAGCTTCAACTGTCCTTATTGTTAGTAAAACTTGTCAAGTAAGTGAGTGTCGAGTTTGTCAGTTAGAGTGGCCTATTTTATGTCGTCACTGGGAATATCCTGAATTTCCTATCGCTACTGAAGTTATATTATTTTGTCGCCCAAACATCAGGGAATCTGATGTTTGAAGTTTAGTTAGTGCCAGTTATCTATTTTAGAAAGTCATTAATCTACTGAACAGTTGAAAATGTTCAAAGGAGGGCCACCAGACTGGTGCCTGCACTTCGGCACCTCAGCTAGCCTGAGAGATTGGAGCGCCTGAACTAGCCTAGTTTATACTACAGACGGGCAAGGGGGGACCTAGTTGAGGTGTATAAGCATCTCAGGGGGCACTACTCAGTTGAGTTTCCTTACTTGGAGCTGGCGGACGCTCGCCCCACAAGGGGTCACAGCTCAAGATTGAAGAAGCCGCAAGTCCAGAAAACTGTGAGGGCAAACTTTTTCGGAGTGAGAGTTGTAAACTCTTGGAACAATCTACCAGAGAGTGTTGTGACGGCACCGAGTGTGAGCTCTTTCAAGACAAGACTTGACCAACACTGGAGCGGGTTCAGGTACATTCAGGAGCCGGTGCATGCCCAGTATTTGCCAACAGTGTGTGACAGAGACGTGACCGATCGCCCGGGCGGCTAGCGAGCCGATCAGTGGTGAAGAAGGTAAATGAAAAGGAAAAGTAATCAGAGACGTGACCGATCGCCCAAGCAGCTAACAGGCCGATGAGTGGCGAAGAGGGTAAAAATAAAAGTAAAAAAGTTCCTGTCAGACTCCAAATTCTCCAAGACTTAACGGCTGTTTTGACCTGGAATGTGGTCAGGCGAGTAGAGTTGCTAGTGCATATATAACTCGGCCCATTACACCAACAGAGACGTGACCGACCGTCCAAGAGGCTAACGAGCCGATCAAAGAGGATAAGGTAACGGTAAAGGTCTAGTTAAAGATATACTACATACAGTCTGTAGTGACCTTATTTAATTATGCTGTTAAGGAAATGTTGCTTTTTATTCTCATTAATGGGCAGTTTTCTTTCATCTGATCATCTATAGTTTTAATAACTTTAAATAGATGCAGTTCTATGTTGTAAGAAGGTGAATTTTTAGCGTAACTTGCTGGTGATGATAAGTCGATAAGGAAGTGAAAAACCCTTATAAAATGACGAGATTATATTTATAGACATTAACATATCCTTTAAACGTCCTTCCCTCAACTCTCTATACTAAACAACACCATTTACCTTTTGGTGAATTAAGAAATATATTATTTCGAGATTTTTAAGAATTTGTCGCCAAAACCTTGAACGTTAAACAAAGTCTGAATTCCCACCAACTCGAAATAATTTGTTTTAATTTCCGGGGAGTGAGGCGTCGATATCCTGAGGTAATTGAATCAAAACACGAAGGGAATATTTATGACCTGAAGGTTTTTTTTTTAGGCCTGGATAACGGTTTCTATAGTTACAACGTTTTTATTTTAGAGTTGGATAAGAGGTTTTGTATTTACCTTACTGGGATTTTATGACTGGACAGCGTATTTTGTAGTTACCTCTTTCCCTTACCTTAACTTCCTACCCCTTCTTCCCTTACCTCCTCCTCTTCCTTTTATCCTCTTCTCACCCACGTTCCCCCACCCTCTCCTCCTCCCTACCTCTCTCTCCTCTTAATTCTCTTTTTTTTTCCACGAATTTACCTGCTCTCTTTCACCCTCCCACCCATTTGTCCTCACCCTCACCTCTTCCTCTCCTTTACCTCTCCTCCGGCCAGGGCAAGGAGGGAGGCGGCAGGTGATCTTAACGAGGAGTTTACAAGCCACGCTCTGATGTTGTTAATAATTTACACTCGCCTAGAGGCTCAACCTGCATTTTTAATTTACTTTTTTTCCTCTCTGGGAGAATCTGGCAACTCCCTTCCCGCTTTTGTTTACTTTTGTTCCCTCGAGTCTTACCTATACTCTCTCTCTCTCTCTCTCTCTCTCTCTCTCTCTCTCTCTCCTATACAATCGCTATCCGCTCCTAAACCACCATCTATTTGTATTACCTCTCTAGCCTAACCTAACCTAACCTAACCTAACCTAACCTAACCTAACCAACCCTGACTACCAGTCCGTCACACACACACACACACACTGTTCTCCTCGAAACTCAATTTATCGCCGTCTCGAGCAGTTTTACGCCAGCCTGAGCAGAACATCGCTACACTGTCAACATGATCCAAGTGGAAAACTGTGAACCAATGACCTTGTCTCGGGTATAGGGGCTGGATAAGGGGACTGAGTAAGGGGGATGGAGAGGGAGCTGGTTAGGGGGCTGGGTAGGGGGCAGGGTAGGTGATGGGTAAGGGGGATGGTTAGGGCTGGTTAAGGGGCTGGTGGGGGGTAGAGGGTAGGTGGATGGATGGGGGGCTGGGTAGGTGGATGGATGGGAGGGCTGGTTAAGGGGCCAGGTTAAGGGGGGCTGGGTAGGGGGTAGGGTGGGTGGATGGGTAAGGGGGGATGGGTAGGTGGATGGGTATGGGGGCTGGTTAAGGGGGCTGGATAAAGGCGCTGGATAAGGGGGGCTGGGTAATAGGTGAGGCTCCTAACTTGATTTCACTACATTTTCACTAGTAACGTTACAAGTCCACGCCACAGGTATGCTCGCCTCACCTGTCGGTCACCTGAGAGTGTACCTACAATAGTCTAGCATTGGTCAAGTGGCCTGTACACCTCCTGGAGAGAGAGAGAGAGAGAGAGAGAGAGAGAGAGAGAGAGAGAGAGAGAGAGAGAGAGAGTGTGTGTGTGTATATGTTTTTTCTGTGTGTGTATTTGTGTGTTTGTGAGTGTTTGTCTGTGTATTCTCTACCTGTATATATATATATATATATATATATATATATATATATATATATATATATATATATATATATATATATATATATATATATATATATATATATGAATATGTCTAATAGCCCCAGGTGAGCTGTTGTGCCCTTAAGGTCGTCAACTATTGTTTAAACCAACACACTTGGAGTACAGTACCTGTCTCCATCTGTGAGGCACACAGGTAATGACGTCATCAGCCCCTCAGGTCAACACACCTTAACAAAACAAAGACCTTAATGGCAGCTTTTAATTCCTCTTACTGGCGGACATTAGTGGAAAACATTACCCATTAAGACTGAACATAAATATACGTAGGGTACAATTATACAGTATACATAACAGCAGTATACGAGGAGGCCTCTGTGTGTGTGTTAGACCGAGGTTATTATAGAGGGGGTATTATATCCCACGTCAATGAGTTAATTACGTAATTCAGGATCATTAATTCTAGGGTTATTAAGTGTTGTGAGTTATAGTGTGGTGGGTTATGGTGGTGTGTCCTCAACCAATGGTGCTATAGTACTTAGTTATGGTGCTGTGGGTGTCCTTAGGGAGAGGCCATTAAGAGTGGCCCAAATCACAGGAAGTGTGTTTGGAGTGGGTGACTGTGTGGCCCAGTGTTTGGAGTGGGTGACTGTGTGGCCCAGGGCAGAAGAACATTACTGTGGCCACTAAAATACTTGTAAGTTTACGTCGTAAGAGTAGATCTCCTAATGTTCTTCCTCCTCATCCACCTCTTCTTCTTCCTCTTCCTCCACCTCTTCTTCCTCCTCCTCCTCCTCCTCTTCAACCTCCTACTATTCTTCTTCCTCCGCCGTCTCCTCCTCCTCCTCCACCTCTTCTTCCTCCCCCGCCTCCACCTCCTCCTCCTCCTCCTCCCCTGAGCATCAAGTGAGGGAAGCGCTTCCCTTTTCCCTGTGAGGTAA